GATGGCGTGTTCAGCTTTTCTCTCCCGCAGGTCCTTCCCTCCCGTATACCCGTGCAGTGCATGGCCAGCATGTACGCGCCACTCGTTCTTTCTCTTTCCTGTCTCTTCGCCCCTCTTGTGAGCGCCGATGTCACCATTTACGGCCTGTTTGGCCAGACGACCGCCGACCCGGGCGCACTTCGGTCGGGATCAGCGGCGGCGCCGTCAGCAACAGCTGCGACGACGACTTCCTTTGTGACGGTTCCGGGACCGCCTCAGTACACCGAACTTGCGGCGTACAACCCTATATACATGGAGCCGCCCGCAATTCCAGACCCTGCACCGCCGCTCCAGTTTGCCATTGGAGTGCCCACAAGCGCGCAGCTCATGAATGGACTGTCTATACCCCAGCATGGTACCTTCTTCGGTTTCTCCATCGAAATGTCGGTCGCGAACCAGCTGAGTGAGTTTGATGATGACCTATATACTGCCTCGGTACTCTTGAGCACAGCTGAACAAACATCTTCTCGGCTGTCTATTCTAGTCGGCACGAATGGGTAAGCAGTGCTCTTTAAATTGTAATATTCTAGGTCGTGATGCTAAATTGGCTGTGGTGTCGTAGTACCACATTACACCCTCAATTCCTCAACCTCATGAACATCGTCGCTCAGAAGGCGGGCGCGGTTCACATACGTGTGGGCGGTAACACGCAGGAGACGGCCTTCCTGGTGGACACTCTGCCCGGTGGGAAAATGATGGAGAAAGACAAGGAAGACGCGTCTAACCCTGTACGTCCGTACGCCAGGTTGGGCGGCGACGTCAATCGTGTTCTGACACAGACATGGGTCTGCTAGACATCGACTCCTGTTCTGGCGTTCACGCCAGAGCTTCTGTACATGATGGCGAACGTCTCCAGTCTGATCAACGCCAAATGGTATCTAGGTACGTCCAACAGTGTTCACACTCACCTGTTACACAACTAACACGGGCACAGGTATTCCCTTCAACGACACGTCGAACTTCCGCTTCCAGATCGCCGAACAGGGAGAAGCCATCTTGGGCGACAACCTTCTTGCGTTCCAGGCGGCCAACGAGCCCGACCTCTACGGCCCGTATGTCTTGTCTCCGAGGACTGTACGTGTGTAGCGCCACTGACACCGCCTGACAGCCACGGACACCGTCCGTTAACCTACAGCCAGTTTGACTTCTTCGGCGAGTACGCCCTGCTTACGCAGGCATACCAGAACGACACGTCTATTCCGGTCAAGAACAACTTGATCGCGCCGAGTGTTTCGGGCACCTGGACACCCGAGAGCATCTGGGACACCGGCTTTGTGGAGGCATACACGGACTATCTGGCGTTCCTGGCTGTCGAAAGGTAAGGGAAAGCGAGCAACACGACTGTGCGGAGACTCACCGCTGGATCTACGGTTAGATACCCCACGGACAACTGCGCCGTCATCTTCCCGAACCCGAACAACCCGCCGCACGACCCGCTGCAGGAGCTCCCGCAGTTCCTGTCGCATCAGGCCGGCATTAACCTCGTGCAGCCGTACGTTAACTCGACGATGCTCGCACAGACGTGGAACAAGCCGTTCCTGATGTTCGAGACGAACTCTGCGTCGTGCGGTGGATTCCCGGGTATCAGCGACACGTTTACGTCTGCGCTGTGGGGTCTCGACTACGCTCTGCAGATGGCGAACAGCAACTTCACGGGCGCACTGTTCCATTTCGGTGGTCAGAACGTGTCGTACAACGTACGTGTATTGAATAATTGATATAAACTTACGGTATTAATGACCCTTTTATTGCAGCCCTTCACAGGTGATTCTGAGTCTGCTGACACGCATAAGTATAGTGAGCTAACATTGACAAATGATAGCGGCACCCACGAACCAGTCGTCCTTCCACCAGTGGACCGTCGGCCCGATCTTCTACTCGTCGCTCTTCGTCGCCGAGGCACTTGGCCAGACGAACACGTCGCAAGTGAAGGACATGTTCCCGAACAACGGCAATGACCAGACACCGGCGTACGCGATCTACGAGAACGGCAACTTCGCGCGGATGGCACTGATCAACTACATGACCGACCCCACCGGTGCGCACGACTACACCGCTACGATCTACGTCGGCGGGTCGGGCTTCAACGAGGACAACGGCGCTCCTGCCTCCGTGAAGGTCAAGTAAGCAAAATGAATGGCACATCGGAGCGGCCGTACAGGTCCTGATTTACGTCCACAGGTACCTCCGCGCCCCCTCTGTGTCCGAGAAGGACAACATCACCTGGGCTGGCCAGACCCTCGGCGGTCGCTTCCAGGCCGACGGTACATGGAAGGGTGATGAAGACATCCAGACCGTGCAGTGCGACCAGACGCAGAACATGTGCCAGATCACGGTGCCCGCACCTGGCGCGGCTCTCGTCTTCTTCTCTGACGCCGCACAGGCGGCAGTCGACCCGGCCGCCCCGCAGACGTTCGCGACGTCAATCGTGACGAAGACAGCGAACACAGTGACGGTCGACCCATCGGTTCTCGCGACATCGAACGGGCAGAGCGGCAAGAACCGCATTTCCTCTGGCGGTACAAGTCAAGGCGGCGCGAACGGCGCGTCGGGCATGACGGGCTTCGCGCCTGGTGTTGCGGCCTTGGCAGGCGTTCTCGGGGGTGTCGCGGTGTTCATGCGAGCGCTCCACTGAGCTGTGCCCACGGATGATTGCCCGTCAGTCCTGCGGGGACTGTGGGATGAGTACGTCTTTAGTTTATTGTATATCATGGCAGTTAATGTACATCTTGACCTAGCTTGTCGCTCTGTAATCACGTAGCATTCTTGAGGTGTGTACCCGTCCGATATACGGCGGTGTCGAGCACAACGCGGAGTGAGCTGGCTTGAAGGAGGCCTCGCGCGCCCGTGAACGCTCAGGATGTCTTCGCGAGCTACTGGGCCGGGACGCGCGCGAGGTGCGTGCTTTCGCGCGACTCGGGTGACGAGTTGGACGCGCATAGGCTGGCGGCGCGACAGGCGCCGGAGGGGGCTGCAGGCGGCGAGGCTAGTCGGTGGAGTACCAAAGTGAATTTTGTCGACGAGCACGGTGGACGCTGGTACTACGACGGGGAAGGGGGGGAGGGGATCTTACGAAAGACAGGGGACGAACTTGGTCGGGCATAGGAGACTCGGAGGACGGCCATGTTATGGAGCGGTAAGGGCGGACTTGTTCGTGTAGTTCGTAGCGTATAAAATATATTTCTGTGTCCCATAAACCCTGCGTGAAGTCTCCAGCACGCCCCTCGCATCGCGGAGGAGGGCCGCGCCGCAGAGCGACTCCGCCGCGGCGCCGCGAACGTCGAACGCGGTGGGTTCAACGAGCGCCTATTCTGCGGATTTGGCGCGAAGGAGTGCGTGGGCGCCTCGCACTTGCTTCTTGCTGCCGTACTCTGTGGTGCTCGCCGGGCAGCGCATCCCGTCCTCCGCGCGGAACAGCTGCACCGAGTGCAAGAACTCCCCCGTCCTCGTAGCTCGCGCGACCTCGATGACACCACTGATCTCGTCTGTCTACTGCAGATCTCCAGATCTCGCACTGCCAGGCCGCGCCCCGCAACTCGGGCGCGCGAATCGCGATGGAGTACGTACCGTGAAGTCGCGAGCCCGCCAACGACCGGTACCATAGAGTCAGGTAGGCGGTTGCGTTGCGAGATAAGTACGTACCCCTTCATCTTTACGCGCATCTGTCAATTGAACACGTTGC